CAGGTCCCTTTCTCCTACCCTGCTCTCCAGCAGCTCAGCCCCCAACCTGTCCTGGCACATGGGGTTGCTCTTCCCCAGATGCAAGACTCTGCACTTGCCCTTGTTGAATCAACATCAAGTTTCTCTCCAGCCTGCCCAGGTCCCTCTAGATGGCAGCACAGCCTTCTGGTGTGTCAGCCGCTCCTCCCAGTTCAGTGTCAGCAGCAAAGGAGTAATACCAGGCACCTGCTGTCCTCGTGGGTGTCCCCATGTCCTTCCCCCCCCCAAAAAAAAGGGGGGATAGGCAGACCCAGCCCCTCACCTTGCCTGGAGAGCACTCAGTCCCATCCAAGGGTGGTCCCTTCTTGGTCTTGCAGAAGTAGGGGTTGTCCGGGTGGCTGCACCACAGCTGCTTGCAGGGGTCGAAGGTGCGGAACTGGGGAGCAGAGAGGAGCTGGGCTGGGACAGCAGTGGGGACAACCCGAGGAGGGTGGTGGCAACTGGCCAGGGGTCCACCCTGGCGGGGTGGGGTGGGAGGGCCAGCAGTCTGAGCTCCGGACTCACGGCCGTGCAGGTTTTGTAGCCCACGCCGAAGTCAAAGCGGCACTGCTCGTCCATGGAGTAGTTAATGCCTGGCAGCTTGGGGAGGGGGGGCCACTGGTGCTCAAAGGGATCGTCCAGCAGGCAGTCATAGGAGCTGCAGAGACACAGGGGTGGAGAGAAAGCAGAGGTAGATGTGGAGGATCCTCACCCTCCAGCCCTCGGGCCAGATTTCAAGAAATCAGTTCAGCCTGGAGAAGAGAAGGCTCCAGGGAGACCTGAGAGCACCTTCCAGTGCCTGAAGGGGCTCCAGGAAAGCTGGGGAGGGGCTTGGGACAAGGGCAGGGAGGAGGAGGACAAGGGGGGGTGGATTTAAGCTGGAAGAGGGGAGATTTAGATCACAGAATCACAGAATGTCATGGGTTGGAAGAGACCTCCCAAGAGCATCGAGTCCAACCCCCCTGCCAGAGCAGGACCAAAAAAACTAGGGCAGGTCACTCAGAAATTCATCTTTGCTGTGAGGGTGGTGAGACCCTGGCCCAGGCTGCCCAGGGAAGCTGTGGCTGCCCCATCCCTGGCAGTGTTGAAGGGCAGGTTGGATGGGGCTTGGAGCAGCCTGGGCTGGTGGGAGGGGTCCCTGCCCATGCAGGGGGGTTGGGAGTAGACGGTGTTTAAGGTTCCTTCTAAAACCAAACCATTCCATGACTCCATGAAATCTGAATTCTCCTGGCACTGATGCAAACTTCTCACTGCTGGAAAACACGTTTTCCAGCAAAAACTAACCACACATTTTGTTTTTACACTGAAGGTGGTGAAACACTGGCACAGGCTGCCCAGAGTGGTGGTTGATGCCCCATCCCTGGAAACACTCATGGGCAGGTTGGATGGAGCAACCTGATCTAGCTGAAGATGTCCCCTATTCACTATAGGGAGGTGGGACTTGATGACCTTTCAATGTCCCTTCCTATGATTCTATTGGGTTTGTGTGGCCAGGTGTTGGTAGCAGGGGGGATTTAGAGGTGTGGCTTCTGTGAGAAGCTGCTAGAAGCTTCCCCTATGTCCAACACAGCCAAAGCCACCAGCTCCAAGCAGCTTTCCTGCTACTCTTCTTGGTCCTGAGGCCCAGAAAGTCACTGCTCTGTTCCTTCACTTCCTTTTCATGCAGCACCCACCACTTTCTGGCCTAAAGGCTAAACCACCCAGGCTGCCCAAAAGCAGGTGGCAAGAACATGGGAGATGTAGATCTGGGCTTCACCAGCAAAGATGTTCAACCCACTATTGCTTTGTTGACATCTCCAGCTTTGATCAGGCTCCTAATTTGTCTCTGCAGCCCAAAACCAGCCCAGAACCATGCAAGTAAACCACCTGTGACCCAAAAAAGGGAAAAATCACCTTCCAAAGACTTTTGTTTTGGCCAAAACGAACAATTTGGGTTGGAAGGGGACCTTCCAGATCACCTAACACCCCAGGTGAGCTGGTTGTCTTCCAAAGAGGAGAACATCCCCTGCCCAGGTGAGGAGGGACTTACTGGATGTAGCGGTTGAGCTCCTGCTTGCTGCAGCGGGACCAGTGGTAGCGGTGGAAGGCAGCCTGGACCAGGGGGGCCATGATGCTCCCCATGCTGGTCTCATCAGCACAACGGTTTCCCTGGCCATCGTGCTCCATGCCCAGCCTGCTGGGAGAAAGTGGTTTGAAAGCAGGTCCTCCAAGGAGATGGACACCAAACAAGGGAAAGTCCCGTTTTTAAGGGGAAAGTCCCGTTTTTTTGGATACAGGTCAAGGGGCAGCACCATGATGCTGGTGGCCCCACCTCACGGAAGGGGACAAGCCCAAGAGTTTTTTTTTTATGGGGGGACACACTCACACATGGCCAGTCTCGTGGGCGACAACGAAGGCAGAGGAGAAACCATCCTCATGGTTGAGGGTGCAGCTGCGCAGCGGGTGGCACATCCCGGTCACCGGCGCGTAGCCTGGGGCCAGAGGGTTGGGAGGGAAGGAGAAAGAACCTTTTGAGAGAGATGGTGGTGGGGATGGGAAAGGGAAAAAAAAAAATAATCCAGAAAATAACACCCCCAACCCCAAACCTGCAGCCTGGCTTGGATGCAGCAGGAGGAGGAAACCAAGAGGAAGGTGATGAAGAGGAGGAGCCCCCCAAGCCCTCAAAACGGCCTCCCCCGCTTTCTTCTTTCTTAGGAAAATAAAAGAGCAAGCAAGGAATAGAGAGAAGAGGCAGAAGGTGTCCCCCAGAGCCCTGCCACAACTCCAGCCTCCCACCCCACAGGCTCTGGGGGGGCTCTGGCCATGCAGCCCCCCCAGCCCTGGGCCCTCGATTGAGTGCAGTGGGGCAGAAGCCTTCCCCATCCTGCTCAGCCATCCCTCTTCTCCACCTCCATTTCTTCCCCCTCTTCTTCTCAATCATTGTATCAATGCAATTAATTCCTTGGCACCTTCTAGAATTGATTTCCCAATTTTCATATCTGTATCTATATATATAGAATCATGGAATCACTAAGGTTGGAAGGGACCTCAAAGACCATCCAGCTCCAACCCCCCTGCCATGAGCAGGGAACCACCAAACCAGGCTGCACAAAACCTCATCCAACCTGCCCTGAGAAACCTCCAGAGATGGGGCATCAACAACCTCCCTGGGCAACCCATCCCAGTTCCTCACCACCCTGAGAATGAAGAATTTCTTCCCAATATCTCACCTAAATCTCCCCTCTCTCAGTTTAAAACCATCATCCCTTGTCCTCTCCCTCCCTGCCCTCATCCCAAGTCCCTCCCCAGCTTTCCTGGAGCCCCTTCAGGCACTGGAAGCTGCTCTAAGGTCTCCCTGGAGCCTTCTCTTCTCCAGCCCAGAAGTGGCCAGCCAGAATTTGCCATCACCTCAGCAAGCTGCTTATATACCACCAGTGAACATAAGCCATGAGGAAATCCTGGAGGTGCTGTGGTCTGGTCCTTCATTTTACTCAAGCTCTGAGCTTACCAGGGATGATAAGGAGCTGAAGGATTTTTGTGTGAGGAAAAGAGGCAGGAGTAAGCCCAGTGTCACTATTCCAGCAGCCCAACAAGAGGGGAGCTCCTGATGGGTGAGGAGCACCTGCACCTTGGGCCATGCAACACAAGGCAGGCAAGGACACAGCAGCCATGGACACGGAAGCTAAGGGGATTTCTGCAGAAAGCAAAGGTCCATCCTGGCCACGTGTGGGAAGCAGGGAACCAGATCTACATGGAGAAGTGGAAGGAGCAGGAAGGAGCATCCCTAGACCAGTGCTACTCCATCAATCTCACAGCTCCTTCCCACCAAGGGGGAGTCCAGTCAATTTCCCCCTCCTGCCAATGTGCCACAAAAGGTCCTCTCACCAATGCTGCTGGACACAGTCACTTTGCCAGGAAGGATCTAGAAAAACAAAACCAAAACCTGGTATTTCACCCCCATTGCCACCTGATCCCAGAGGAGGTGCCCAAGGCAGGTCAATGGCTCAGCAGGGAGGCTGTTGGCACGACCCAAGCTCTGATCTTTGATGGCCAAGTGGACTTCCAGCTGGATGTCTCCTGTGGTTCATCCACTGCTGCAAGGAAAACCTTTCCAGGGAGGTAAAGGAGATGAGGACAGGATTTCTTCTCTATCTCTTCTTCCACCCACATGCACCAGGACCACTAGTGCTGCACATCAGTCTGCTGATCAGCACATTCACACCATCAAAGGGCCCTGATGGGCCATTCAGACCTTGCCAGCAGTGTGAGAAGGAGGAGGTGGCAATTTGGAGGCAGAAGGCTCAGGAGAACTGGGAGAAAAGCCATCTCTCATGATGACACCAAAGCATCCACCTTGCTGATGGTGCCATGAAACACCAGAAGCTTTTCCTACAAGTCTCATTTTTTTGCCTGGGTGTCTTCACTTCTCAGACCACACCAGCACCAAGAAGGGGAGAGACCTATTGCCCTCACTCCTTCCAGCCTCCTCTTTGGCCCAGGATTTACCCACCACTCCTATGTCCAAGTTCTAAGAGGGCCAAGAAACTAACCCATGTAAAATCCGCTTTTAAAGGTTCTAAAGATCCTCCAGAGGACAAAAAGCACCAGCCTCACAAACCTCCTTGTGGGATCTCATCTTGGTTTTATGTTATTTTTAAACTGTTCAGGCCACTTTGGGACAAGGGGAGGGTTGGTGCATGAAACCAAAGTCAGAGCAGAATGAATAAACGTGACTTTTAAAACAAATATAAATATATTTTAGGTTGATATCCTGGATTCCTTTGTTCTTCTTCGTATCCATAAAATCATCCTAATTTTTATAACCTTCTCCTGGACCTTCCTGGCCAAGGAGCAGACTGGGCTTGCAAGCAATCCTCTCCCCTTGCTGGCTGCACATACCTGGTGGAGATAAATACAGTACCTTGCATACCTGCAGGACCAAAATCTTGCCTGGTGAGGAAGACAGCGTGGTCGTGGTACTCGGCGTGCGACGGGTCGGAGCGTTGCTGCGAGTGCGCCCAGCGACAGACCTGCTCCAAGCTCCGGGATGGGTTCCCTCTCTCTATCAGGCTGACTGACTGGGTAAAGGATTCCAAAAAAGAGAAAGGATAAAGAAAAGGATGGGAGAGCTGGAAGGGCTCAGGAGGGAGTTGTGGGGGTCAGGAGAACACCTAAAGCGGTAGCATCAGAAGCGCCGACTTCCCGCTCGGCGCCTGCAAAGCATCTCACAGGGTTTTTTGCACTTAAAAGCAGCAAGGAAATCAGTCCCATTAATGGGTGTGGTTTGGGACAGGAGGGTAGGAGACACTTTTTGGGCAGACAAGTGCTGGAAGCAGCAATAGATAAAAGAGGAGAGGAGCTGGGAGGCAAAGGGGATCTAGACTCCTCTTGGAGCCACCACAAGATATTGATGCTCAGCAATGCTCCCCTGTCAAACTTGATCCACAGAGACCAAAACCCCAATGGAAAACAGGTGGAAGTGTCCAGGACTGATTTAGAGCAGTTTGGGGTTTGTTTTTTTTTATGGTTCAAGATTAGCATTTTGCAAAATGATGCTCTAGAACTTCATTCAGACTCTAGTAAAAATTCATGCTCTAAAAGACAGATGATCTAGAAAAGAAATATGGTCTCAGGTACCTGCTGAGCTGCAGCCATGGGAAGAGCCCTGGCAACCCCTCTGGGTTGGCACCAGATGATCTTTGAAGGTCCCAAACCATTCAATGATTCTATGCAAGTGGCCAGTTTGAGCAGCACAACCTCCTGGCCAGGTCCCAGTGCTGTGCTTACCTGGCGATATCCCACCATGACCATCCTGACCAGCACAATGTTGATGTGAACCCCCAGGGACTCGTCGTGGTAGATTTCATCCACCTTAAGAGAGGAGGGAAATAAAACAGAGAAGCTGAGACCATCCCATTCTCCACGCTCAGCATCTTCCCCCACTTTCCATGTCCACACAGGATGCAAAGATCTCACCTTCCTCCTCCAACCCCCCAGCTTTTGGGGTTGGTTTTTTTTTTCTTTTGATACTTCTCCCACTGTGTAAAAGCCACAAAGTCAAAAAGCCAAGCTGGAATGAGCCACATTTCCCCAGGATGGGTGGTTTGGATGGTCCATGACATCACCCAGCCCATCAAGGTTGTGGGAGGAAGGCTGTGCTTCCCACCAAGCCATTGCTCCCTTTGGAGCAGGAATTCCTCAGATGGAAAGAAACACTTGGGACTCCAGCAACCTTGTGATTGGTGGAAGAACAAAGGGCTTTTTGGGGAGAGGCAAGAGATCATATCAAAGCAAAGGATGACTCAGTTACACCAGTGAGTCAAAGCTGACCTACTGCTTCAGAAACCCCAGGAGAAGACAAGACCATGAGAAGAAGAGAGAGGGCTTGTGAGTCAATAAAGTATCCAGCAACATTGGCTACTAAAAATGCCTTTGGAGAAGGAAATCATGAGCTATAATCTTTTCCTTCTGTGTTTCTAGGAAGAATAAACAAATTCTGCTCCCAGGAGAAGAAGACATCCAGATGAGGAAGGTCCCACCAAGAGAGGCACAGAGAGCCACAAACCCAGGAAAGAGCAGGAGATCCTGAACCAGCTTTCACCCCCCTGCACAGCAGGTGTGAAAATACAGCTCAGACACACCAAACAATCCTGGTTTTTAGAGCACAGGACCTTCCTCTTTCCCAAATGCCTCCAAAATGAACAGTGCCACAAGTGGGGGGTTCAGTCCAGAAGTTCAAGAAGTCAAATTAAAACCATCTTTCATATTGACTAGAATGAATGTTTGAATTAAAACATACTTTTTAAAACTCTGTCCAAGAGAGAAATGTTTTGCCTTTGTTCTATCATACCTTGCCAGACTAGATGAATATTATAAAGCCAGATTTCTGGAGCTTTTCTCTTCTCCTCCCCTTCTTTTTATGGCTGACATTTGAACTGAAGGCCTGGGTGACAGTTCAAGGGAACAAGGGGTAAACCATGGGGTTGGGGTCCCCAACACCAGAAAGACATGGAGCTGTTGGAGTGAGTACAGAGGAGGCCACAGAGATGATCCAGGGGCTGGAGCAGCTCTGCTCTGGAGCCAGGCTGGGAGAGTTGGGGTGCTCAGCCTGGAGAAGAGAAGGCTCCAGGGAGACCTAAGAGCACCTTCCAGTGCCTGAAGGGGTTCCAGGAAAGCTGGGGAGGGGCTTGGGACAAGGGCAGGGAGGCAGAGGACAAGGGTCAAGGGTCAAGGGATGGATCAAAACTGGAAGAGGGGAGATTTAGGTGAGACATTGGGAGGAAATTCTTTGCTGTGAGGGTGGTGAGAGCCTGGCCCAGGTTGCCCAGGGAAGCTGTGGCTGCCCCATCCCTGGCAGCGTTGAAGGGCAGGTTGGATGGGGCTTGGAGCAGCCTGGGCTGGTGGGAGGTGTCCCTGCCCATGGCTGGTGGGTTGGAACTAGATGGTCTTAAGGTCTCCTCCAACTCAAACCATCTGATGATTCTACAAATGCTTTTCACAGACATGGACAACTAAACCCCTCAGCACCCTCCCAGCACTGCATACTCTTCCTCAGCCTTCCTAGGGAAGTGACTACAGACAGCAGCAGGTTCACCAGCACCTTCCAAACAGGTCATCAAGGGACTAAGATGCAAGAAGGTGTGTTACTCCATGATGGTGTTTCATCCCCTAACTCTGCCTTTTCAGGCACTGCTACATCCCACTCTCCCCCAGCTCACATGAACCCCCCCAAGCCAAGGGGGCAGCCCCAAACCCCTGTTCCATCTAGCAGGCTCTGTACCTAACAGATGCCAGCTCAGCAGTGACCTTTGTGGTTCACTCAGAAAGCAGATGTGGAACCAGACTGCCCGAGGCTACAGAATTAACAGCCAGATAGAAATCATTGATTGAGAGGGGGGGAAAAAAAAATCAAATCAAAAGGATTTGCTTGCCTGTCAGCCACCCTGGAGCTGGTTCAAGCTCACAGAGGGGATGGAAACAGGCCCAGAGAGCAGTTTGCAGCTTGGCACAACTCCCTCTGTGGATGCCGTTAAGCGACTCAATGTCTCCAAAGAAAACCCCTCCAGAAAATCCCAGGGCACCCCCCTCCCCAGAGACAGGTGGGATAAAGATCGTCTTATCCCTCTTGCAGATGCCCAGCCTGTTTCATACCACCACCTGGCAAGAGGATCTGTTTCCCCCCCCCCTCCTAAAACCAGCCCAGCTCCTCAGGGCAAGAACAACTCCAAAGCCCTGCCAGGCGACGGGGATGATGCTGAGCTTATCAGAGCCTGAGAGGAGCTTTCCAACCCCAGGCATCCTCTCCAAAAAAGCTCCAAGAGCACGGGTTACCCCCCCACACACCCCCCAAAATAAAACAAAAGCCCCTCACCAGGCTGCCTACCCAAATCCCTGCCAGTCTGGCCAGCCCCGAATCCGCCGCCCCAGACGCCAGATCCCGCCAGTCAAACCGCACCGGCACCGTCTAGACCTCGCTGTTCTCTTCAGGGAAAGGAAAACAAAAGAGAGAGAGAGACACGAGAAGAATTTGCCAAACCAGCAGAATAGCTGACATTTCCAAACCCCCAGATCGCTGGCTCCCAACAGCCAAGTCATCACTGAAGCTCCTTTGCTTTTGATTCCCTTCGTTTCACTGCTGGCAGATTCGCCCCAAGCCCCTTCTTTCTCTGGGGCTGAGGGAGGTGGGAAGGGAGGCAAAAAGCCTCCCCCTGACCATTTCATGGGGCTTGCTACACCCTCTTTTATCTCCTGTAGGGACACACACACACATTGCTGGGCACACCTGCGCTGACCCACATCATCTACACCTTCCCTA